AGGCTTTCAGTTCGTTGACTGTCACAATATGACTAAAAGAAAAAAAATCCGTGGCGACGCCTTGGTAGACTTTAAGTCGCTTTCGTCGATGTCGACTGCTGGCACCGAGCCTCTTGGTGCATTTATGATATATATTGGCTCAGTTTATTTCATTATTTTACAATGTATCTATAACTCTGCTTGTTGTAGCATTTCACATGCAAGATATTCACATATTTACATTATGCGTTACTAAATAATAGTGATGGACCGAATCTGCCCAACTTCAGATTCGGCAAAGTTCGGCAAATGCCAAACTTTTGAAAGTAAGTTCGGCAAAGATTTGGCAAAAATTCGGCAAATGTTTGCGCACGCGCGAGGACGCGACGGAGCCATGGATTGCAAATGGACGCCGTGCAGTCGTGCGGTTACCATCGTGCAGTGTGGTACAACCAGCGGTTACGGCGCGGTGTGGAGCAGGCAATGCGGTAACTTTGCGTTTGTGAGCAAGTGTGGTCCTCTTCAATATTTTCTGCCTCAAGAATAGAAGATCGACCAGTGAAGTGACAAATGATGTGGTGCATTCTGAAACATTGGCCGACAATTACTTTAAAGCACTCCTCGCAATTATAACAATTCTGTTTTCGGCTCAGAAGTACTGTGTTCTAAAACAAAATAATATTGCTTTTTCAGTTAGTGTTAATTCACGATTTCCATGTATCTGCATAAAACTAAACACAGAACTATAATGCTCGACGTTGCACATCCGACCATTCCTAACTCTCCCTATCTTTCAAAACGTTTGTGTGTGTCCTAACACCAGAAACTGGCATTTTAAAGGTTAAAAATGAGACGTTGCGAATATGGGACGCACACTTTCATGCAAAGACGTCAAGTGACTCAAATCGAAAAACATGCATATTTACAATATTATTATTATCTCTTCCAGTGAAGGCTCAGCAACCATTGCATTCGTTTTCGCGCACAAAACGGTGACTCCCAGAGAAAGCAAGAGCGCAGCGTTATTGCCTTTATTTTAGCAATGTACACCAAGGAGTAGGGGTGTCGCGAACCGGTCGAGGTTCCAGTTCGACCATGTTCGACTTTTTCTAAATTTTAGTGGAAAGTTCGACAAACCTTGTATTGAGGTACGACTCGTGTGCTCATGCGCGACAGGCTGACCAGTTGACTTTGGATTGGGTGGTGAAGGCTAAGGGATGAATCAAGGGCAGTGCTGATTGGTTATTTCAGTTAATATAGTTACAAAAAATTAAGTTATTAACTTCTTTTGTGATTAGAATTAGTTTCTTTTAATTGCAGTTGTTCACAAAATTAAAATAACCCTTTGCAAAAAAAAAACTTCTCCAAACCTAGACATGCTTATATCAAGGTCTGGCCACACTGTCCACAAAGTCGAAGCGGTCGAATTTGGTGAAAAGTTGGAAGGTTCATCGAAACGGTTCGACCCAGTCGAACCCCGAAAGTTCGACCTAAAAATCCGGTTCGACAGAAGTTCGCGACACCCCTACCAAGGAGTTTGATTTTCCACATACATGCAGGCTTGCGCTGATGATGCCTCAAAACCGAAACTCTCGTAGCATGATTCGTGACAGTGCCACGCTCGCTTTTACCCGACCTTGTTGTCATGCCACTTCTGCAAGGAGTCACTAAAATTGCCAGTAAACACAAAAACGTCACCGATACAATTATCTTGCAGAATATCACCTTATTTAGTAATAACTATGTCAATATGTATTACATGTTGCATTTAAGCTAAGACGAAAAAACGAAATATCAACGTTAAGTCTGGTAACAATGTATTTTTGCCGAATCTTTAAAAAAGTTTGGCAAAAGTTCGGCTTTGCCGAATCCCAAGATTCGGCGCCGAACTTTCGATTTGGCAAAAGTTCAGCCCATCACTACTTAATAAGCACGTTTACACTCGTGATCCAAAGTTCACTGAAGGCAAATCCATCTGTTATGATGGGAAGCATCGGAAGCATGATGTCAGTGACGCGTCACTCGTCTGCTCTATAGGCAGTTCCCTGCACCGCGGAAAACCGGAGGACGTGAGTGATCACGGAGACGTAGTGATGGTTCTCTTTTACCTTTGCTGAATTCGCTTGGCTGAGGTGCACGGCGACTAATTTATCTTTGCCGCTTTTCTTCAGCTGCTTGAGGGAAGCCGATTTGGGACATCTTGTATGGCGCGCTGTTAGAGTGGAGTCATAGTCCGCCTTCCCTTTGAAGAGCTTTTCCAGTTTCTATTGCCCTCTGTCAAAATACAGCACTTCCACTGTTCTGTCCGTTAATAGTAGAAAACGTTGCACCACTCATGGCGACATTGAAGCTCCTGGATGTGATCAGTCTAAACCAGTGGTCCACCATCTCCAAGAACCAAGCTGTCGTGAAGGCCTTGCATGAGAGCTGTCCCATCTGTACTAACAACCTGATGGCTGAAGCCACAGCATGATTGAAGACTGCCACTGCACTGGCAGCATTTATTTTCTCGAAATGGTTGGTTTCCAAATACTTTTCCTTCAGATGAGGTGCAATTTTCAGGTCTTGGCGGGCATCAATTGCAGCCAGCAAATGTCATTAAATGCTGCCGTGGGACAGCAAATGAATGACATTTTGGGGCTAATGTGATTTGCTTTGATTGGCATTATTATGAAATAAGCGTGATGTGAAGTATTGTTGCAATATTACACACTGCTGTACCACGGAGCAGCTCGTGCCACATAGCAGATGGCTGCACACTTAGCCGACACTCATGCATTTTGCTGCGACCAACCAGGTGGCACAAGCTGCCGTCTAAAACACGCAGGTGCTCATTCGCGCACATTCCATCAAATAATGCTGTCACGCCCGCTGGCTGCTGGTTTGAAGTTGTTCATGACAACATTTTTAAAGCCGTCTCCAAGCCAAGAAAAAGCACTGTAGAAGATGAGCATGCATTGTTGGCAATTTACTGCATGAGATGGTAGCAAATTTCAGTCCTCTTCCCCCTTCCAAGGAGGGATTGCAGAATTCTTTCTTTTTTTAGCTTTCATGCCTCGTGAGCTTGCTTACTCTATATTTTTCACGTTTCTTTTTCACCAAGGTTGGCCGTGCTTTCAACTCCTGGCAATGTTTACACATTTCTTTTAGATTTGAGTATCCTTTTAGTTTTTCCATCAGAACATCAGTATGATCAAAATGGATGCAGGATCACTATCTACATAGAGTGTACTAAGCAAACCGCATTTACCCTTTTCAAGCATTTTTGCACAAAGTGCGAGCTGCAGCTCGCTGTTTAGATTTAGCAGGCCCTCCTTCTCGGCGTTCAGACGGAGAATCTTGGCTGCCCGCCTGTCGAGCTCAACCTTCATTCACCTCTTGGTGCTCCTTCTCCTCCTCAGAGCCACCTAGATGCTCCAGCAGCTTCCTTTCAACTTGTCTTTTTACAGTGCCCTCAGTCTTTTTTTAACTTTCCTGAAATGAAAAGCATGATTTACTAAACAAACACAAACGTGTATTAGTTTGTTTCATTTGCAAGATTTCCATTAAAGGAAAACTGAAATACAAATAACACATTTTATGTTACTTCCGGAACGGGTCAGGTATTTCCTAAGATGAATTATTGTTGATAAAGATATTTCTTTTGCACAATATTGTCACGAATGATGAGGCGACGAAACAAAGAGTAACTGAGGAAACTGAAACGTTTAATGGGGTGAACTTGTGCCCAAAACAAAAAGGAAACAGAAGATAACAAAAAAGAGCTTCGCGGGCGTCAAAGTCAGCATAACAACAGGATTGAACGCTGGGGCGAGGTTGACTCGGAAACCAACGTGGATTGATCGGGCCCATTGCACAGCGTCGATGATTGGTCAGTTTCACTCACAAAAAGCACCAGATTGGTCAGTCTCACTCGCACACACCAATGATTGATCGGTCACACTGGCACGCCAACGGAGAGTGGTCTGGCTCGTTGCACGGCGTTGATGATTTGTTGAGATCGTTGTGCAGCGTCGATGATTGGTCAGTTTCATGCACGTAATGCAAATGATTGGTCATCCTCACACGCACAACACCATGATTGGTCGGTCTTTCTGGCACACCAACGAGGAGTGGTCTTCACGGCTTCGAGGCAGTGACGGCACCGCTCGCAGCGCCGTTCGTGGAGCCTTTGTTTTCGCTGCTGTCCAAGTGTTTCTGTCTTGACGCCTGGTCCCGCGGCTTCGAAGGGGTTATGGCATCGCTCGCGGCGCCATTTGTGGAGCCTTTGTTTTCGCTGCTGTCCGAGCGTTTCCATTTCGACGCCTTGTCCCGCGGCTTTGAGGCGGTGATGGCATCGCTCGCGGCGCTGTTCGTGGATCCTCTGTTTTCACCGCTGTCCGAGCGCTTCCACTTGGATCCCTGGTCCCGCGGCTTCAATGTGGCACACCGTGGCCGCACCTGAAGAGCCGACGCTGACCTACGCCGCAATGGCCCGACGACTGCCACCAGCTGCTCAACATTACCCAGTGGCGCCACAACGGGACTCACCAATGCAGGCATTTTCACTGCACTGTCCTTGCTGCCTCATGAAATTTCGCTTTATCGGGAAGGTAGCCATAAACAACAGCTGTGATTAAAGATGTTTATGACAGTTAACATCTTTAATGTTGTTGTTGTTTAATGTCCGACAGTTTCCCACTGGCACTTTTCACATAGTGTGCCTTCAACACCCTGTTTTGAGCCTCTATGCCAGGGGTGGCCAGGCTGGCCTGGCCTAAGAGCCGCACACAAAACCACGGAACTTCTAAGAGCCGCGGGGGGGGGGCGGGGGGGGGGGGGGGGAGGGGGAGGGGGGAGGGAGGGGAGGGGAGGGGGAGGGGGAGGGAGGGGGAGGGGGGGGGGCGAACATAATTTTCGTTCAGTCTGACTGTACGTATGGGGGCACAAGACTGTACGACTGTACGTACGGGAGTACAAGGTTGCCAAACTGCAAGCTGCAGTGTACTTTATTCTGAAATTCTTTTTCTTTTTCCTGGGGAAACGCGGAAAGGGGCGAAGGGGGGGGGGGGGGGGGTGTCCCCTTACGAGGGATCCGCAAGCCGCACTTAGACCAGCAAAGAGCCGCATGCGGTTCGCGAGCCGCGGTTTGGCCACCCCTGCTCTGTGCTATCATTTGTGGTCAAGACAGCATCCAATAACAGCCTGTAAGACATGGCCCACAGCTCTTTTACAGAGGGCCACGCTACTTCAAAGTAAATGCGGAAGTTTTCATTTTCTCAACACTCTTAGGCAACAAGGACTTTGAACGCCTTGTAGAAGTCATTGGGATTTGAAGCACTCGCTAAGTGTTTTATAAGGTTCGGAGCCTCATCCAGATCGGACATGCTGTTTTCCTGTCTGCCCAGCCACCTTTGCCATGCCTGTTTTTTATGGAAGTCGCAGATGGAGATTTTACTCTCTGGAAGCACTTGCTGGAAGGCAGCTATTTTTGTTTTGCTGTAATCTTCCATCCAGTGCTGTGGTGACCAGTTATTACACCACTGCTTGAAAACGTCTAAAGCCTCGGTGATACAGTGGGCTGTATCGAACTGCACAATAAACATACCAGCTTGTGTGTATCCTGATGGCATTTTCACAGCAAGCAAGGAAGGTGGTAGGGCATGTTCACCAGCTTTGTGTACACAACCTACTGAGCCTCTATAGTTTCTCAACATGTTTCTCATGAATTTTGTCTGGAAGTAGAAGAGCAACGTGTCCTCACACTCACTGGCAGCACTGTCTTCCACGCCGTCCGAGTCGCTGCTACCCACGCAGCTGCATGCCGCATACAGCCAATAGACAATGAAGCATTGGGGCTCCTGATCTTTTCAATTAGAATGCTACTATTCTCTTGATCAACCGTGCTGAAGCAGTCTTTCTTAAAAACAGCTTGGATCTTGTTAATGATATCACAATGTGTCTGGTAAAAGGCCCTGCAGCTGCCATCAGGTTTTCACTTGCTTAAAAAAAGTATGTCATGCACATAATAGTGCTGGCTGTTTTTACATCTGATACAGATGTAAGTCCTTCCCTTGCCAACATTTGTTTTCTCTCAGTAATGTCCCTCTCCGTGTTTAGGCTAAAAGCTTTATGTCCTCGAAACCATGGTTACGATGGGAATTGCAGTTGGCAATTCTATTGTACGCTCTTCTCTTCTCTCTTTGACCAGTCTGCTGCTCTGCATCAAGTGCCTCCTGCAGCTGCTTGGCCTTGTCTGTTTTCAGCTGACCCTTTTTTATTGGCCGTATGTTTGGGGCACGTCCACCTAGAAAGTAGGAATTATTACTTAAAATTAGCACACATCAACCGAGTCTAATGTGCCCCCATCTTATATCACAACAAAGTTGTCTGCACTGTGCAGTTACTGGCAAAAGGAAAAGCTGATATCATCTGCATAATGCTCTTGGGCTTTTCCTAAATCCATTCATTTATTGGGAATACCCTAAGGGGCATTACATAAGGAAAAATAAGTATAAAAACAGTTGTCACAAAGTATCCTCTTTACACTCACTGCACACAATCTTTGGGAGGCTGCTGGATCGGTGCATGAGATTGAAACGTTTGCAAGTGCATTACCATGTAACATACCTGTTTTTTTTATTTCTCCCAAGTCTTTTTGTAGTATTACATTCCGAACATGCAGACTTTGACTGTTTCCTTGACAACTCGAAATGATACATTGTCCAGAGAGATTTGAGACCTGTAGTGGACCATGAAGGACGGCATTCGCTGAAAACAAACACTGAAGACAATTTATTGACGGTGTCTAGTTTTATGCATGGCAGAGGGCAATATCAAATCTGGATTTAGTTTTTGTTTAATGGCAACAAAAAACTTTAACCTCTGGCAAGAAAAAAACTTTAACCTCTGGCAAGAAATTCTGGCTCTCCTTAGCAAAAATAATAATAATAATGATCAATCAAGAATCAACAATCAGTTTTATTTGGTGCCCAGTAACAGCCATTCGACCGTGGTACTGGCACACCCTTAAACATGAAATATAAAAAAATGCACTTGACCCATACAACACAATGATTAAAACCAGATTACAATAAAACAAAATTCAAAACATGCTTTTAAAAAAAGGGCCGTGCATAATGAAAAGGCGTCGGTCGAACAGACACGACCGGAGAGAAGTGAACACACACTGACAATCGGCACAAAACAAAGAATGTCGACAATGAGAGAGATCAAGGTAATCAGGCTTCTTATACGTAGGGTTTGGAGTTTTCGGTTTAAACCGATAAAAACCAGTAAAAGTACGCCGAATTCATGTTCGGAGATTCGGTATTAACTAAAAAAGGGTAGTTTTTAGGTTCGGCATTTTCGATTTAAACCGATAAAAACTGATAAAAGTACAACAAATCCATCTTCTAAAATTCAGTTTTAACCGGAAGCGCTCACTTTTACCTTCCAGTCGTACCGCAGAGCCGTGGCGAAAAAGTGGAACGACAGTGTCTATTGAAACGTGTCCGAATGTATGAGATACATAGATGCCATCACGACGTTATGGTGTAATGTGCGCATCATCGATTGGAATGTGAAGTGAGGAACGCCCCATGACTTCGCCATGTACGAACGTGTTTTCAAAATCATTGTAAGGAAGACTAACTTGATGCGAGCTCTGCATGTTGTGTTGTGCTTCAAAACGTCGCACCGTGCCTCTTTCGGCAGTCACAATATGTTGATTGGCCGATTTTGACTCGGGCAGCGCTTCATCTCCTCAGCCTGCCAGTGTCCAGTGTTAGCGTTGAGAGGCCATTCTCGAAGCTCAGGGTCATATTAACAGGAAAGAAAGAGTGCGGATCAACGAGGAGAACCTGGAAAAGTACATATGGGTTTACTATAATAAGATCACGTAATCCTGATGAACAGAAGGTGAAGTTCCATGTTTTGGGGGCATAGGCTTCATATATGACCTGTTTGTACTGTTGTGTTTTTTATTGATTCTTTTACAGTTGCACACATTTGCCATATAAAGTGTCCATTTCTTTTTGAATATATCTGTGCCATTATTCTTTGAGTAATCACAAATATCAGAGCTACAAGGATCATCTGACCCGGTGTCCATTGGTGTTTAATTTATATTCACTGGAAAAAGCCGATAAACTTTTGTGGGCATAAATATATGCTGAAAAAAACCGAAAATTCTAAAATAAACACAGAAAAAAGTACACCGAATTTTGAAAAAAATAGAAACTGAAAACGCGGAGGGATTTTATAAAGCTTTGAAACATGATGAAAAACAGCCTCGGATAAACAGGGACGAAGAACTGGTAAAGAACTGTTACTAACTGGCCCATATCACCACCCTACTTCAGTTTATAAAGCTTTCCTTCTATTCTCAAAATATGTTCAGGTCGCTGGGGTGACCATTGTACGTTTTCGGCATACAAAACGGAGGGTCATGATTGTTAGAAGGGCATGGTACGTAGAAAGGTAGCGGCACACGCGTCGCCGTGCGTGGGATTCGTAGAGATACTAACTACTTCTGCGAGCAGACTAGGACAGTCAATAATACCATGAGCTGTTTTAAACGAGAACAATAAGTGGTTTTTCCCGACGTTGATTTGAGCTGGATAAGTGTAGGTCACTCATTACAAAGCTTTTGTGTACTAAGGGTAGTCTATCATGAAAGTATCAATATTTATAGATTGACGAATTTATTTTGAACTCTCTCCAGCTTTAAAGAGTGTCTCTTACAGATGCCATTCCACACAACGGATGCGTATTCCATACGAGACCGTAATAATGCAGAGTACAGGACAAGTAACGGTCTTGGGATGCGAAAACTCTCTCTGACATTCTGCAGGCCATTCCCAGTGTACGATATGCGGACAAAGTTATTTGAGTTACGTCAGCATCGAAGCGGAGGGAACAGTCGAATAACTCTCCTAGATCTCGAACCTCACTAACGCGACATAAATCTTCGGAATGAATTCTGTATGGGAAACATCTACTGTGAGTCTTTTGTGTTTGACCCATTACTTTTGTTTTTTCCTTGTTTAAGAGCAGGCCACTTGTCAAGCACCAATTATCAAATGTGCACACATCTCTCTGAAGCATCTTGCAATCTCTATCACTGTATATCTTGAAATATTTTAGTATTGTCTGCATATTGTAAAACCAAAGAATGAGGCACAACCAGACACATCATTGACAAAAACAACAATAATAATAAAAATAATTGTTATTATAATCATTATTAATTTTTAATATTAATAATAATAATACATTTTTATTGATATATTAGGCCTGTTAGGGATGGATATGTTTACAGGTACATCAAAGCCAGTGATGGGCTTGTTGGATGTCACCCCCCCCCCCCAAAAAAACCCAGAAAAGTGCATGCAAATTCTACATAAAAACATTGAAATGAGTGATGGGGCGCAGGCGAGCTGGTTTATGTTTATGATTTAAGACAACCCTGAGACTGGGGAAAACAACGACAAACACGACAAAATGTGAAAACATTACCTTCCAAATGACAAGGTATAGCACTAAAATACCCCCCCCCCCCCTCCCTCCCCTCCTTTTAGCACAGAGTACTAAATAATTATGGCAAAGCATGAAATTATAGGATGGCAAAAGAAAAACACAAATACTAATTCTGAATGTTTCCAGCTGAACGTAGAAGTAAAAACCAAGGAGTGGAGAAAAAGAGACACACACTGCTGGACTATCAACCATTTACTGAAATTCTTCCTTTTTCTTTTCATCACCCTCATGAATTAAACTATTTACTGGAATTCTTCTTTTTTCACCCACCCTCATGAATTATACGATTGAGATCCCAGGGGTAACTTCTTCGGTATGACATTTGGTGGCTAGCGTTCACATATTCCTGACTTGGTTCCTCACTTGGGGCGCTCCCAGAAGATACAGTTTTTCTTTCGAAAATAGCGTGATGGAGGCGGCACTCACGCAGTCATCCCTGTGCGCCTCAATAGCCAGAGATTCCAGGATTTCCCTTGCAAGCTGGTTTTTGTGCTTTCCGACGATGGTAATGTTTTCGAAATCAGGAGCACATTGGCATACTCGGCAATGCGCCGGAAGATGGCCAGCTTACATTAGTGCGCCAACGGAAGCTGCATGCTCCCTGGTGCGGTCGTTAATACACCGCCCAGTTTGTCCAATGTAGCTTTTGCCACATGACAACGGAATACGGTACACAACTCCTTTTTCGCACGGGGCGCACATTGTTTGGTGTGCGATGCCACAGATGGACCTCTGATTTTGATCATTCCTACAATTTACCTTACGGCACATGGCATATGCCTTGTTGGGGGCTGAGCATACGACCTGTACGCCTTGTCGGCTGGCGATCTTTTTTAGGCGATGCATTATCCCGTGGATGTATGGCATCACCACAAGAGGTTTGGGGGGCTTCTTTTTTGTTGGTTGTGCATTGGTTTTCTGTTTTTGCCGCACTTTCTTGCAGAGGGTCTCGCATACTGGTATTAGGAGTGTACTTGCGTAACCAGAGTCCTGAAGCCTACAGAGCTGCTTTTGAAAGCTACAGCCGACTCTATGGGGGCAAGATTGTTGTAATGCCGAGGCGAGAGCTTTGGTTGCCAATCCTCGTTTTACAGTTCTTGAGTGTTCGGAGTTGCTTGGAAGGAATCCTTTGCATGAGCGGGCTTCATACATCCAGCACACGTGGGTATTTCTGAACTCCAAGGAGAGATCCAGAAACCTTATGGACTGGTTTACCGGAAGTTCCTGGGTGAAAAATAGTCCTGGACAGCTGTGTTTCAAGGTGCGTGAAACACCATCTAAGCACCCGTTGCTGGGCTCGTCTGCATTGGAATTACACAGTACGAGAAAGTCATCCACATACCGGAAAATGACCTCGATGCGTTGATCTTTTAGATTTCCTTGGATATCCTTACCGTACGCTGCAAGGTACAAATCGCACAAGTATGGGGCTACTCGGGATCCTGTGCAGACTCCACTTTTCTATACATAGCGTTGCTCCTGGTGTGATACCACAGTCGCTGTGAGGTAGATTTCTAGAAGCTCCAAGAAGCTATCGAGGCTCATACCAGCTGCATTCTGGAAGCATTGAAGGCCCTGCTCCTCGATGGTTGTTCGGAGGATCATCAGGAGAGCGGCATGGGGAATCGAATAATACTTGTCTGTGATATCTAAGGAGAACCCCGATACTATTTCAATATCCTTTTTTTGAAGAAAGGAAATCACTCGGTCCGAGTTTGGTATTCTGAAGGGGTCGTTTACTTTAACTTGTGCTAGAATCTTCGCCAAGACCTGTGACACATTACTTTGCCACGTGTGTCTCTCTGATACGATGGCGTGAAAAGGAACATGTCATACCAACCGGCTCAGCTCCAGGCAGTCACAATTACTAACACACAATGCCAAGCAAAGGAAAAAAGATCAGTCACATACGCACGCAAAATACAAAGTAGTACAAAGCAGTGCAACTAAGAAAACGAAAAAGTACAAAAGGAGAGGCAAGGTTCAGAATCTGAGATAGCTATGGCAACTAGCACATCAGGTTCATTCTATCTCCTTAGAAAGCAGGCATTAAATATTTATTATCAAGGCTAAGAGACAACTTTTTTTACAGAGCCTTCAGTGAGGTGATGTCGGATATATTCTTGGAGAGCGTTGAATATGCGGGGAACATAAAATCGTGCGAGCATTTTCCATACCGAGTCGAACAATGCAGCATTACAAAACGAGGAAAGCGGCGCAACTTGGGGGCGAATGTAGTGATGTCTTAAAATGATTGCTCCAGAAACCGCAAACGGTCTGAATAAAAAGTTAGTGAAAATTCGGCAGTCTAAGACCCTCAAAAATGTTGGCACTGGCAGACAAATGTGAATTGTAGAGGATGCTGGTCAGTATTTCTCTTAATAAGGTGTTCTACTTTCCGTGCCGGCGACCTGAGCAGATATCAAACAATGTTATGCCGTAGCGAAGCACACTCTAGGAAAGCACGTGGGCTATTAAAAACTGAACACTGATGGGCATAAAAGCCCGTGTGTTATAAAGCGTGCAGGATATAGTTTGTAGTTAGTCGCATGAGTAGGACCCAAGTATTTCACATAGTTAACAGACTCAATCAAGTCACAGTTACATGGATTGCAGCTTGACGAGTGGAGAGGAAACTTGGCATTAGCGTGATACCTCTTAAAATGCATTCTACGAGGTGTATGTTGTTCAGCCGTCATATTTTATCTGCGCGATGGAATCAGCGCCATTTTAGTTTCTGAATATTCGTGGGTTGAATATAACTGCGTTACAATCGGGGGTATGTTAAAATTGTGCGAATTTCATACAGGATTTTTTCTTCCACAAATAGATGTGCATTCATGCATTTCTTGTCCTTCAAAATATTTTTTTTTCTATACAAATGTTTCATTATACAAATATTTTACACAACAAAATTAGATTCGTATCAGAGTTTTACTCTACTCTAACTGGAAATAAACAAACTGTTTACTTACCCGAGAGGGCCAGCACCTTTTGTGGAGTGAGTGGTGCAAACGCCTTTTCTTGCCCCGCCATCTTTGCCTGGTTGGAGAGGGTGTTGGTCACCGACCTCTCCAAAAGCACTTCAAGTAGCCATATGGAAGAAGCCTTGATTTTGCAAAACATGGAGTCGCACTCCGCTTTCCGCATGTTGCCCCAGGATTCCTGGTTGATATACACAGCTTGCCCCACATGGATCTGCTATAACCCTTCCCTGCCCGGTAAAAACGTTGACCACAAATATGAAATCTTTTGTGGATTTTCAGACCACTGAACGCCTCTTATAATATATCTGAAAGATAAAAAAGAAAATTTACTTTCATTTTCAAAACGGACCCACAGAAATGTGTGGGTCGGGCTTCAATTGCTATGAATCTCACGAACTGTAAACAAATATATGCCAAGGAAAACATTGCCTCAGAGACACATTTGCCTCACAGGGAAGTATGAAATAACTTGAAGCAGTTCCTATCGCTTGTCAGGCAAAGGTAAACATTGCATTTTTCGCAATGCGTCCTTGACCGTGAGTTGCATCCCGACAACCTGCATATTCGGGGGGTCTTCAGGGCATCCACGGTGGGCCAGTGGTCAAAGGAATCTAGCCGCTTATCTTCACCGGGGAGCTTTGCCACCTTGTAAGGCTGCTGAATCTGGCCATTTGAGTCATCGACCTCTTCCGCGGCTTCACTTCTTTTTCTTTTGGGTTTTGAGCAGAGAGCTTCAGCGACTGCCAGGCGGAAGTCGAGAAGGTCCATAGTGTCTCGCTGTGGCACAGCATTTGCCCTGCAGGCGTCACTGTATTCCATCCAACAGTTGGCAAGAGAGAGGTCGATCATGTGTAGGCTGACCTTTAAAGTCCATTTCCTTGTCTTGATAGCGATCCTGTAATATTCCAACAGCTGATCACAAATGTCGACGCCCCCCATGCACGCATTGTACCTTCGGACAATTGCCGGTGCTGGTACATCGATGTACTTTTTTTCCTGTTTTGACCAGCGCTTTACAGGTTCAACAGGACTGGCTCCAGTAGAAGTTGATGCAAGGGTCATGGCTCTGCTGTCCTTCCACTTGACTACAACCACATTTCCATCGTCACGGGTGTACCCCGCGTATTCTCTCTGCTTCATGGTGTTGTCACTTCGAAACCGAATGTTCTTAATTTGATTTGCCATTATTGTTCCTGTTCCTTCGATGCCCCTCTTTAGAAGCTCATCCAAGAGAGGGATCGTTGTGAAGTACCTGTCAAAGGAGATGAGGGACCTCTCGGGCAGAGTTTGCACAAGTCTCCAAACAACATTAGGACCAAGGCCAAGTGCTGTGTCAGCAAGAGGGGTTGATTTCCCTCGATATATCTCATAGTCCATCACCAGGCCTTTGGAAATGGTCGCAACAAAATTTTTGAGTCCCACTGGCCGTGGTTTCCCTTTGACGAACTGTCGCAGAGAGGACCTTCCCGTGAAAGGTATCATCTGTTCATCAATGGAGTAAAAAACAGGTTTCCTCTCCAGCTTATGGCAACATTTTCTGACAGCATCAATTATTGGCTGCACTTTCCACAGTCTGTTCTCGTCTGGTTCTGCGGGTGGCCTCTCCGTGTCAACGAAGTGGAGGCATGTTCTTAGCATCTTGAACTCTTCACGTGCCATGACACCATGACACTGCTCACCAGCTCGAGCTGAAGCCCCCTTCGCCAGTACATGTGTATGTGCGGAAAGCGGAGACAACCCATTATAATGTGCATGCCAAACAGTTGCTTGATCTTGTGTGAAGTCACCTTCAGAACCTTTCCTGTCCGAGACATGTGGTACATACTTGTCTTCTCAGCAGCATTCTCGAAGAACTCGTCGTCGAAATGTCGCACAAAGTAGCTCGACGGTGTGCCGACAGTAGGGGGCTCATGGTCCTCTTCACTTGCTGGAATCTGATGCAGTTTTTCAGTGAAGGTCTTTCCATGAAACGTTTCTGGTCTTTTTCTTCAATGTCGCACTTAACGATGAAGGCGGGGGAAAGAACCCTTTTAACGTTGAAGGAACCGGGGTGGCTTCCTCGTTTTCTCCTTCATCATCACTGCTGTTTGCATCTGGAGCATGTAGCTGCCAATCGGGGTCGTCGCCATCACTGCTGTCACAATCGATGTCAGACGACTCGAGAATCTTGAGTATTTCCTCCATGTCAGCGTCATGTTCAGGATTTAATATTCCTAGAAATAAAATAAAATAAATCTAAGTAACAAGCATTTTTTCATGGCGACGTCAAATGGTGTTTTTGTCGTCATACATGCCCAACCCACACAAATGTGCGGGTGGCTGTTTTGAACGTGCTCGACACCTCTGTGCGATATTGATATGGCTATTTGTACGCCTAATGCCGTTTAGCGGGTCTCGGGATTGCTTTCTAATTCCTAGTTCTGAAAATGCACAAGAAAAGAAAGCAAAATGATGCACTTAGTTTTCAAAGGCGGCCGGCATGCGTCTCTCGAGGAAAGTGCCATTTTGGAAAAGGTCCAACTAGCCCCCTTGCGGCGCAAACCGGGGACTACTCGTTTCAATTTATTCCACGCACCCACACAAACGTGCGGGCTGGGTCGGAACACCTAGATTTGATAAAGGTAAAACAAATTCTATTTGAACCCGCACGTTTGTGTGGGCAGGGCAGGAAAGGGATAAACAAAAGCGAGAAACAGTTTCACACATACCGGTCTAGTTGACTCAGAGTTCTACTGTATTTTCCAAGAAGATGCATGTAAGAGGCACTAAAATAATTACATGTACGAAATTTAGGCCTTTAAATTTAAAACAGCACTGTCTAGGAGTTTCTATGTACATGGGCGTCTGCAAAGCTGATGGGACCATAAAGCTTCATGGCATTTGTATCAAACAGGTATGTAATCCCTAGTTGCATCAGGTGACAGCATGAGAATAGAACGTTTTGCAGGCCCCAGCTATTATTACAAGTAAGAGCCTGCCTACAATAATGTTTTAATGGTTTCTGGTAGTGATCGATTCAATCTACTGTGCTTACTCTATCCTAAACCCTTTTAATGTATGTCATATATTGCATGGAAGTGTGAAAACATTTCCATGCAATCCTCATTTTGGAGGCCGATGGGGACATCCGCAATCTCGTTCTTTGCAAGGGTGTCCTGCTCAGCAACTGAAAAGCAATTCCACATTAATTGAAGTAATGACAGTTTAAAGTTTCTGTGTTTGTTCATTAGCACAAATGCAAACAGGATCATGTTAATAGTTGATTAAAATTTTCTATTCAAGGAGCGTCGTGATGCTTTTTGCGAGCCCCTCAGTGGTGGCACATGCAGTAAAACATCTGGTAGAACCTTAATAATTTGATTTCGGTTAATTCGAAATCCCGGATAATTCACAATATTTCCACGGTCTTGTAACTTTTCATGACATGTGATCAGAAATCAATAAATTTGAAATATCTTATATATCTTCCCTCTGATTTTTGACAGTTGGCAGTCTGCATATTCGAACGGTATTAAAAATACTGACGAGCACTTCCAACTATGTCGCTCGCTGCACAGTATACGCTCTAACAAATGATTACAATAAACATACTTGTTCAACACATCTTGCAACATCAAATAACGTATCACAAATTACATGCACTTAATATTGTTTCCTGCTTTCCCTTTGACCAACCAAAACTAGAAACCTGTACCTTCCGTTGTGTACGCCTTCGCTCAAGACAGTGACAATTCGCATAATTGCCACACAAACTGAGTTTTTAAAGGGTTGAACCCGCACTCCGGATGTATGACTCGCCCGTTAGCCTGATGATCTCGGCATCGTAGTAGTCGCAACGCGTGTTTCCGTCCCCGTCCCTAAAGACTTTATAAACCTTCTTCCACTCAAAGCCAGTGATGTTGGTTGGGTGAAAGTTTTTCACGACAGCCTTGTGGACTATGCACATCTTGCCATCTTGAAGAATTTTGACTTTAGCGTACATACTCATTGGGAGAGAAAGAAGAGGAATGAAACATACAGAAAAACAAAAAAAAAACAGGAAAGATGCAGAAGCACGTCACAGTAGGGGGGGGGGCGGTACAGTAGCAGATGCGAATGCGAGGGAACACACGAAGCACCAATCCAGCACGAAAGCAACATGGAAACCATGGCCACCATCGGTCGCACATTGCTTGCACACATTGCCCCATCATTGCACCACATTGCGACATCGCACACGCGGGAATACGGAGAGTGACGGGAAGACGACAACCCGGATATATTAGTCACTGACAGTTGAAGAACGGTGTTCGAACCGGAGAAAGGGAACCAGTCAGTAGCTTGGAGCGATGTGAACGTCCCTCCTCCCCGCTCCAGGCTTTCGTGCTTTCTTCTCTTGCCAATGGCACAAGTTGGATTTGGATCTGGATGCTTTGTGGTTGTGAAAAGATTGATTATGGCGAAGTTGGCGAAGATATTCGAATTTGTTTTATAATTTCAAAACAGGTTTTGAAACTCCGAAGCACAGTTCAATCTGAGCACGCCTGTCATTGAGGTGTGCTGCATTCTCAGGGCGAATGAGGTTTTTTTCCCGGTGGATCTCGCGACGAGTGCGTCGGATGGTTTTTATTTTCACCCTGTATAATGTTGGAAATATCTACGAAAGAAACTTCTCTATGGGGTACGGGGGAGAAGTAAAGCCCCCCTTCATGTTTTAAAAATAGTGCATCAGTTCTATATGGGAAGGGGGGGGTGTTTAGTACGAAAGAACAACACATGCGGAAATAGGACACAACCATACACAGCAACGTAATAATAAAACACCTGAATTCATGTCAAAAGGAGACCCATTCAGAGGCAAAGATGCATTCGATGATGCCTTAGCGTTCAAGTTTGAAGATCTAAAAAACCGTGTGGCAAAGCGTTATCGGGAGATGACGTAACTTTAACTGGACAGGTGGGACAGTGTGTCGCACCTTCGCTATATGAGTGTGCTTCCGTACTAAACCCAGCTTTCGTTTAAACGGATGTTCGAAGTCTTTGAAACAAGGCGTCTACTTTATTTTGCTTTTTGTATCAACTTGACTGCAGGTAGTTTGATTCAAGGTGGAGACATGCAATCTGGTGTCAATTAGAAGATGTAATGGGCAACCGTTTACCCTAGCGTCAGCGAGGAATGCATTCAGGCGGCTGGGATTGCCGGCTTGGCGGGACGTGGCTTGACCGGGCACCTTGACCGGGCACCTTGCTGGCCGTGGGCCTCCACACTGCATTGGTCCTGTCCAGCTGCAGCGGCCGCCGGAGGAGGATTTCTTCGGAACGCCTGGTTGTCATATTGACGACCCTGGAACTGGCCTTGGGCCCGAGTTGGGAACGAAGCAGGTTGCTGGTCGCCTCGAAAAAGACGACTGCGGTAGTCGACAGCTGTGGCTGACCACAGCAAAGTATCCCATCTCAGCACTAAGGAAACACTGGGCCAGCTGGGTAGGGCAGACGTTGGGGCTTGGCTCAGCTGCCCGCAGAAACATCAGGGGCTGCCGGTTGTTTCCCACTCCCACAGACGAGGAGTAGGTGCGTCCTGTCCATGGGGTCTCTCAAAGTAACTGGTTCGCGCCGGTGAATGCAGCGCGTGACTGCAGGGCATCCTAGCACCGCTCGCTGCTGGCGATGAGGTGTAGCGATGGTAGACTGTGGGACTGGGCTCTTCATACTGCACCGGTTTACTATGATACATTCGAAGGAGCTATGGATACAAGGTGTGCGATTTCAGAAGACAGTGAGCATGGACGAAAAATTTCTGCGGCAGTTGCTGCACGTGGCAATCGGCGATGCCTTTGTCGATACTCAGCTCTACACGGTGTAGGCAAACCAGAATCCAACCGACAGGTTGAAAATTTGGAGTTGAAGCGAGACATTTTAAATCCAATATAGCGCATTCGAATCTAACGTCCTCCCCAAACCATGGCCAAGATGGCGGCATTTTCGAAATTTCATACATACATACATACATTTTATTTCCTATTTTTAACATGTTACAATCTGAAATGAAAATGAAATTTGGGGCTCTGGCATGCTCAATAGTTTCATTGTAATAGTGTACATATTCAACTCTGTTTTCAGAGTTAAAACCAAGATCAAACCAAAACTTCTATAATACTAAGGTCAATTTTAACGTTTGTTTATAATGTGAGGTGGAACAAATCACAATAAACAAAGTATCTATAATAATAGACACTAACACGTCTCGGCCAATATGCTGTCACGTCCCTCAGCCAAACATTCCAATAGGCTCGTTGGTGCCATAGCTTTGTGTTGGGCAAGTTAGGGTGAAATGCAGTATAGCACTTTTGCAACGCCCTGTAATGCAGAGCTCGGTGGGTACAGGGGGAGTCGACCTAGTTCCTGTAGCGGTTCACCTCATGTACAAATGTGACCAGAAAATGCTCCTGCCACCCAAGAATGAAGGTCGACAAATTTCCCAGCATACAGTCTCCGATTTTCTTCTTGTGGCCCAGATGATGAGCTGCCTCTTGAGTTTTCTCACCTTATCCCCCTGGTTACTGATGGTCCATGTCTTGGGTGTCTGGCCCTTGGAGCTTGCCTCCACACGTTTGTTGCCCTCGTGGTATTCTCTTTGATTTTCCGAGGAACCGTCGTACTGGGACAAGAAAGTAACAGCATGCACTGAATGGACGAAGTGAGACACACCTTAGACTTCTAAATTAGAGAACTACTGTTCGTCTTACTGTTTGAGGTTCCAAGCAGAGAAATGATGCCCGGAGCTTGACGATCGGCGGCTTGACGCGTGTTGAACGACAGGTGCGAGATGCTGCCATACCCACAAGGTATCCTGAAGAGACAATTCATGCGCGGATCCCAGAAACTGTGTTGTTCGAGCAACACTGTTTTTAGAGGTACCTTCCCATTTATTTCTTTCAAGGTGCATTTGTCTGACTAGGCAATTCAGAAGTATGTTCAATTTACCCAGTCCACTTGCTTGGCCACTTTGCTAAATTTGGTACATTCATATTTTAAAGTAATGCAGATTAAAAAAAAAAATGTTTTTCTTAAAATATGTTTATATTTCGATGCCAACTTTCCTTTTATAATTTCACAACTTGGCAGACCCCAGATTCGCTCCTGATTAACATCCTTTGCCACAATATTTTTGATTTTGCCAGTAAAGTGGTGTGAAACTTTTGATGCGTGGAAGTTGCCAAATCATTAAGCGTGAACTAGCAATTCATTACGTTGACCGTTTTACAAGTCTTGTCTCACGTACATACTCCCAAGAAATTAACTTGGCCACATACACTACGTTCGACAAAATTAATTGTGTCCTGCCTGATTCGGAGGATAGCGCGAACACTTAAAAAATGTTTGTACCCATCGGTAACGAACTTGAAGCAAAATTTCAGAATCTCGAACCGCCAAGTGAGTCCCCTTTGGCTTCTTGCCTGAGGAGGCCCATTTAGAACACATTCACTGCGTGATTCGGTAACTCACGTGACATTAAAATGCCAGGAGAGGATCCAACCGAAAGGGAAATACTTGGAAAGAGACATTCGCAGAACAGGAACACAGACAATGCCATCAACGCGACCGGCAAAGTTTAAAAACATGACTTTCGTTAGGGCAATGAGCTTCTAACCTTCTAAAGCTAGCAGTTACTGCTCGATTTTTCCTTTTCACATTGGTTTATCATTAAAATCGGGGCTTATTATGTTTTCTAAAAATAATAACATCAACATGTAGTATATAGATAATCAAAATTGAACATAACAATCAGCAGAAAAGGATCTTAATAACCTCAAGTGGTTTCCTGTGGCGTTAAGTGGTTCTCACCTCGTGAAGTTGTCCTTAAAGGGGCGGTGCAACAATTTCCGAACTTTGGCTAATTAATTGCGGGAATTGATCCCGGCCACATATAAAACAAAGGACCGGAAAGTATTCTTTCCTGCTTGCCCTAGTTTTTATTAAAAAAAATAAAAGAAATTGGTATCTCCGGCACCCCTCATTTCAACTTTGAAGCGGCACCAGCTTCGCCTGTGACGTCATTCGGAGTGGCGCTGGTTTCCGGTTGGGTTCTTTTGGCTTCCGTTTCCCCAGCGCTTGCCGGCTCGCCAGGCTCGCCGCTCGCCGCTCTCCCGTCGATTCCCGACCAACATGGCGGCGCGGCGGAAGTCGAAGTCAAAGTCGAGGTCGAGACACCAGGAACAATAACGATACCACGATACTACGGACCACGAACAACGCACTCCGTCGAGCGAGGGAAAGACAAAACGTCCGGGTTGCTCGTGTAGCCGCCGTAGGCGCCTCGGGCGTCGACGAATGACGGCGACGGCAGGTTTTGTTGACTTGCGGTAGATGGCGCCACAAATAATTCATACGCTTTTAGCGACAATATTAGGCTTTTGAAGCGTTTCTGCATGCCTAAACAACAAGATTTTTTAAACTTAACCTTAAATCAGGCTTACAATTGCCTAACACTATCACTTACAAAAACCACTCCGAATGACGTCACACCACAGGTTCCATTTGCGGCCACCATGTGGCCGCAGGTTGGGAAAAGAAAGGGTTTTTTATTTTGCGATTACGCAGCGAAATAGAGGTATTTTGGGGTATGGTGGCACTTTTTCTCTTACTTATGCCGAAGTAAACAATGTAAAAAATACTAGCTGCATATTCGTTCAGTGTTAAAATCATTGCACCGCCCCTTTAAAGGGAAACTCCACTCAGTTTTTGCTACTGAGAAAACAATGTCATTCTATTCAGTATAATCTAGAAAGGCTACAAGTTAAATATTGGGATTGAATTCCGTCTAAATCCTTATTAAATTGGCCATAAAAGTTGTACAGGTGCAAAACTAACAATATCAGCTAACTGTAGCGGGAACGTGAGGTGCAGCCAACACTGCATTTTCACTGACCTGCTTCCGTTGCCAGCGACGTCTATTGGCGAGGAGATCAAATTCTAGGAGGCACTGCATTCACCGAAACAAATACCGCCTGCATGGAAAACAACTTCAGCGTTCCAGTGTGCTGTCGTTGGCTGCCGTGTTGTTGCCGCGTTCCGTGCAGGTTTGTTAGAATATAGTACGCTCTTGTTGCATACTGCAGTGCTCAGCGTATGCTTTAGAGCCTGGAATCAGTTTTCATTGACTTCCTGTCGAAAAAAGCTCAAATCGCAGTGGATAAGTAGGGAAGAAGTTGACTGTGCACGACGCGGTGTGTGGGCGTCACTTTTCAAGCGATGCCTTCCAAGCAAACTACGCTAATGGACGAGGCATGTACGTGCGTAAATCACGCTTGCATCGACATTCGTTCAAACCGTACATAGTAAATGTTCTGCCAACAATCAACACAACAAACCGAAAAAAAAAAAAAAAAGTTGCCGGTAGTTGTTTCTATTGGGTTTTGTATAAAAGGAATAGTCGAAACGGGAACTTCTAGTCCTGGGACTAGCTCATGGGAAGGGTGTCCGTTTCACGTGTCGTGGGTTCCAGGTTCAAATCAGAGTAGGCAAACCTTTTTTTTTTTTTTTTTTCGTGAAACATTTCACGATTTATGTATATATATTTTTTTAGAATAATCATTGCCGTCTGAAACTCCCGGCAATCTTTTTTTCCCGAGTGGTTGTGCCGGCTACCGAAAAATATCCTCCCCCCATTTTATAACAGTGCACAAGAGGAGGTTCTTGGTACGCAATGCCGTTCCATCAGAGAATTTTTCGAAGGGATAACACGACCAAGTCGTGAGTCTTTGGAAGCCACCGAGAGGTACTGCTATCATTTGATCACTATTTTATTCCAGGCTAGCTTTTACACTGGAGCATATTAGGTAGTGTCTCGCGGGGAAGGAGCGACCAGCCACACCGGAGTCTGGAACCCAAGTGTTTTATTCTCACCTTTCTCGAACTAAAGATAACCCCGAGCATGCGCACTAGCATGGACGCGTTGCCGCGGGGCACGCGAGTGAGAACTGTCGTGTCATCACTACATTTCCCCTCCTAAGCTTTACAAGTCCAGACGTACCGGTCGCCTAACTTGGCGGCCCGACCAAGTCACTCTTATCGGCGTATTGTCTGCCATCGACGTGTCCGTCGACGTTAATGTTGAAGGGGAGTTTGTCAAGTTTGTCGGCGCTGTTGTTGGTGCAGGCTGAACTGCGGTCGGCTGTTGTTGGCTCCCTGCACCCGGACTTGCTCTTGCCGTTGAGATCGCCGAACTGGCTGGAGCCGTAGTCTCATTGGTCGAACCGCCGGGATCCGGAGCTTCGAAGCTTGCCGGAGACGCATCGAATGGTACCAGGTGCCGGCGGTTGCGTTGCAGGACTCCTGTCCCGGTCTCGACTACGTAGGAGTGCAGCCGCTTGGCTGGACTGAGGACTGTTGCTCGGCACTGCACGTCTTGTACCCACACGTCCTCTCCTACGGACAGCGGGCGAAGTTGGCGAGCGGCGTGACGGCGATTGAAGTCCTTTCGCTGGCGTCTTCGGGCCTCCCCGTCTTTCCTTTTGAAGTCCCGACGGGATGGCCACCCCGGCTGCAACGTCTCTAGCATCTTCGCTACCTTTGCAACCGTCGGCCCATTAGCAGTTGGGACCATAGGTCGGCATTTTAGAGCCCCTTCATTCAGCATCACATCACAAACAAAATCACGTCTCCAAATTCATTCGCATTCACGTCGCAAGGTACTCCGACATTCCAAAGTCACGGCCCTTAACATCCTGGCGTTGAACCACGCCAAAACCTCATCCCCTTCACATCATGGCGTTCAACCACGCCAAGAATTTATCCCCTTCACATCATCGCCGCCTCCGAAATCACGGAGTCATTCACAATCACGTCACCAATTCCCAAAGTCATTCACCATCACCACGAATTCACAATTCACCATTGTGAATTTATCGGAATTCACCATCACATCATGAATTCATCCGAATTCACCATCACCTCACAAATTCATCCGAATTCACCATCACCTCACGAATTCATCCGAATTCACCATCACTTCACGAATTCATCCAAATTCACCATCACTTCACATAGTCACCCGAATTCAACATCACATCATGAATTCATCCGAATTCACCATCACATCACGAATCCATCCGAATTCACCATCAAATCATGAATTCATCCGAATTCACCATCACTTCACGAAGTTATTCACCTTCACGGTCAACACAAATTCACCGAAATTCCCCATGACATCATTAATTCTGCATAATTCACAAACTCACTCGGGTTCATTCCGACTAAATTCGACTTCACGGCTGGTAGCCCTTTACGAGTTCGCAGTTCTTGCGGACTAGGACTGGTGGCGCCTTTTTGTGTCAGCCACTTGAAACCAGGACCTGACTCAGCCAGGGAAGTGGGGTATTTTGAGTGCGTGAAACACAAACCACCTTGATTAAGCGCCAACCCAGCCAATGCCGCGCTGCGATCGTGTCATGTGAATGTGCTCCGTGCGCCGCCGCGCAGAACCGGCAGGTCACGTGATATGGTCTCGGCGCCGGATTAGGTGCGCCTGCTCGTGACGTCGGCTTCGTCTCTTTTGAAATGACATATGGCTGCGCCGCGTAGACAAAGCGGCGCCTGCTGCTACTAGTGCCCGCGCACAGTGCGGCTGCGCCACGCACGACTCACAATCGAAACGGCACAGCGAGAGCCGTCAGGGATTCCGGACAATATGCTCCGAGGTACGGAAGGGCAAGGTCGGCAAGGAGCTCAATTTATTCACGAGGAACCGCTAAGAACAACGGCAAAATTAAATGTCAAGTGCCAAAGGAAACGACTAGTCCCCCCCCTTCCCCTTCATTGCCGCTGTAACCGCACTTTCCTTATAAACAGCTGTTACTACGGAAGTGCTCGACAAAGGGCCACCGCGCTGAGGCGCGCACAGCTACGCAGCGAGACTGGTGCCCAAACCGCTAAAGTCAAATGGGTTCTTGTGGTTTGCGGTGAAGGATGAAAACAACCGGCCAGCAGGCAAGCAAGCACCTGCGTAGCACGTTTTCTACTTCTTCTGAATTCATAACCATATTCACTATCATGTCGAGAATTAAGTTCACGGTATTACTCCCATCACAAACTTATCAAGTTTACGAGCCTCGCACATCCCAAATTCATTGTGTTCACGAGCCATTCACCATCACGTCACGAATTCATTCAGTCATTCACATCACAATGAATTCTATTGACTTCACGAAGTCCTTCACAATCACAACACATCATGGTTAATTCAAATTCACGAAGTCATTCACCATCACATCACGACTTCATTCAACATCACATGAATTCATTCAAATTCACAAAGTCATTCACCATCACATCACGACTTCATTCAACATCACATTACGCATTCATTCAAATTCACAAAGTCATTCACCATCACATCACGACTTCATTCACCATCACATCACGACTTCATTCACCATCACACCACGAATTCATTCAAATTCACGAAATCATTCACCATCACATCACGACTTCACGACTTCATTCACCATCACATCACGAATTCATTCAAATTCACGAAGTCATTCACCATCACATCATGAATGTTTTCAAATTCAAGAATTCATTCAGAGCAATTCAGATTCACGCCGTGAATGTGAATCAAGGTGAATGAGCGAGTTCATGAATGAATTTGCCGAGGTATGGTTGGGACAGGCTTTAACCGGTCATTCCAGGGGTGTCTCGATACACCAGGAGGGCCATGTGCGGGTCTCTTGACTTGTAGAACAGCTCTTTTATTGTCCGCACCATACGCTCCGCTTCCCCATTCGCCTGTGGGTAGCGTGGGCTGCTCGTGACGTGCTGGAAACCGTAGCTCTGGGCGAACTCGGCGAATTGTCTCGAAGAGAACTGCGGCCCATTGTCCGATACCAGCACGTCGGGGATCCCAAACCGGGCGAATGTACTCTTGACTGCTGCGATGACGGACGTTGACGTCGTCAATGTCAGGCTGATGACCTCTGGGAAGCGGGAGTAATAGTTCACGACAAGCACTTGGTTTTTCCCCTTGAGCTCGGACAGATCCGCACCGAGTCTCTGCCACAGACGACTGGGAGTCGGTGTGCTGATGAGGGGCTAGGAGCGCTGTACTCTTGTTTGGGCGCACCGCTCGCAGGCTGTCACAAGTTGCTCCATTTCGCTGTTTAGAGTAGGCCACCAAACAGCGTCCCTTGCTCTTGCCTTGCAGCGTCCGATGCCCTGATTGCCTTCATGTATCAGCTGCAGTATCTCATGTCTTACCTAGATTGTGGAAACCAGCTGAACTTACAGAAAAGGGTGAGGAGAGAAAGGAGAAAAGGCATCCGATCGCTGGATGCAATGGAAAGGAGCTCAGCTCCTTCCCATTGCAAGTATCTCGTGTTGCAGCGAGCGTGGAATGAAGATGCGGCGGTCTTTAAACTGACATATAAGCTACTGCCTATCTCCTTAACAGAGTGGATTTTGGGCTCTTAAAGAGTTGCAAGACCCTTGAGCCTGAAGAAGGCATTCAGATGGCAGTATTATCCTGTTCATGCTTTGGGTGGGTTTGCCTATATGCATGTGTATGTCTTCCTCTCTGCAAGGGTTTCGAAGATGAAGTGTGTTATACTCGGGATAGTACCCACTCTTTATAAGGGGTGACATAACCTAGGCCGCCCCTCGGTCTTCTCCCTATTGGCAGCAAGTTCTGTGACCTCCCTACGGTTAAGAGAAGTCCAAGCTTAGTAAAATTACAGAAGACACTCCAAATATCAGGCATTCTGATGCGTGGTACTAAAGAGATTCTACTGTGAGTACTCTGAACACAGTGGTTTTAAAAATGCAGACTACATCGTTCACAGCTTCTTTGATGGAACGGGTTGTCTTCAAGCGACAGAGGCCAGAGTTGATATCACATCTCTCTTAACTTTCTTTCTTTTGCGGTTTTAGCAACATTTCTGACACAAATAGGTTTTATCAAGTGAATGTAAGGGCGCGAACGAGCTGGTTTAGATTGAGCATCACCTTAACTCTTAGACTGCAGGCAAAAACAGCACAAACACTAAAACGTTGATACCTTTTAGTGTCGCTTTTGCCTTTGTGTCATTTTTTCTGGCCGTCTCGGTGCCTATGTCATGTTCAATTAAGTTTTCTGTTTGGATTTACTGTAAAAAAATGTCAATAGATGTCTCAGTCTTTTGAGGAATTTCCAGCTTCCTTTGATGTCTTTAAAGGAGGACAAATGCAAACATATGACACACAGATTGCGTACCTGTTATGACTACCGTATTTACAGGAATGTAGGTTGACCATTTTTTCAATTTTTAAAAATCTGAAGTGGGGGGTCGACTTGTAATCGAACCAAAGCCTTCCACCGCCGGCAAAAACGAAACAACCGCAATGTCATGAGCAGCTCGGCGTACCCCTAGCACTGTGCTATTTTGTGCACTCATTTTACAAATTAATTATTTTTTATTTGTGCAAACGAGCATTAATGATAGCGATTCACAAATTAACCCGAATGTACGGCGGTGAACAGCGCACGGCGCGCCCGACTTTCGTGGGGTGGCGGCACTTCTTGTAAGAGTCACCCCGTAGGCCGCTGAAGGCTGGCAGTTGCAGGTCTTGGATGGTCTTTTCCAAGCGGCTGAGTCGAGCCGCTATATCCTGGGAAGGTGCGGCTGCTGCGGGATCCGATGCTCGTGATTGAAAGCTGGCCGCGGCGACAACCGGGGGTGTGGAGTATTCTGCAACACGATCCGCCAGATCAGCCAGGCGCTCCAGGGGCATGTCCTCACTTGCTGCGAGCACGACGACCATGTTGTGGGGCAAGCGCTGCAGAAATAGCTCACGGAGGAGCGATGTTTCAGCATTCGAAGTGGCGTCGCCCAGAAGTCGCATCCGGCGCAGTAGCCGGGAGGGACGCTGGTTACCAAGCTCCTTCATGTTGAGGAGATGCTGGAGGCAGCTGCGCTCCGACGTGGTCTTCCGGGCGAGGATAGCGGCCTTGAGGTTGTCATACTGGTTGGATGTCGGCGCCGCCGCGAGGACGTCCTCTAGTTCATCGGCGACTTCAGCTGGCAGCGAGGAGACGACGTGAAGATATTTAGTCGCTTGCGAGGTGATGCGATGCAGCAGAAATTGCGCCTCAACCTGCGCAAACCATACCTTGGCGTTCTTCGTCTGAAATGGAGGCAGCTTGATTCGAATTGCCGCTAAAGATCCCGTCGGAATGGTGTCCCCAGCAGCAGACTGTTTGCTTTCGGAAATGGTTGGAAAATTGCCGGGAACCATGAAGGAGTCGCTCATCTGGGGTCACCAATTTGTAGGGATGTGTTCCGAGATTTTGAGGACGCGAAGGAAAAAACGTCCGACTCCGTGATTGTACAAATTGGTTCTGTGGTTTTATTATCCGTCTGAAGACAACTGTGCCGACTGCGCACGGAGGGAAGAAACCTGACCCTTGAGCCCGGCCGGTGCGCCGAAGTGTTTACTCGAATGCGCACCGGAGAACCAGATGGAGCGCGCTAGGGTGCCTCGACGTCCGAGATTAACATATGGCGGAGACGGAGCGCCTTGACGTCTGAGATAAAATATATGGCGGAGGCCGCCACATGCGCATCTAAAGATTATTTTTTTTTTTGCTGATATGCAATGTGGGGGGGGGGGGGGTCGACTTATAATCAAGTCTGCGGCTCGTTCTGGGTGATTGCTCGGCCACGGCAGCAAAGTGCGGCAGTCTGGGACTAGGCAAAGTTTAGGAATTTGATCAAGGCGAAAGCCTTATATGTCGATCCCATTACACGAAAGGGCAGCGTCGGCATTGTGCCTGAAAGATGGCCATAAAATCCCAGTCCAGTGTGTCCTGGTGCAATCCCAGTCTACTCATGCCTGCTTTACCGAATTTAAATGCCAAATAAATTTCTTTGAATGCAGCATCTTGCAAGAACAGCACTGCAATCTTTTTGAAGGCTGAGCTGTTTATTCAGCCAGTTGTGCTGGTGCCCTGGGCCACTTGTGCTGTGGTTCGCATGGTTTCTGAATCACCCGAATCCCAATCTTTGATGACATGGCTACCTCCAGGTCCTTATGGCTCAAGCCTCAGCACAATGCCAGCAATAGTTTACAAAACATGAAAGACGTTTACAGTTCTCTATAATGCCGAATTAGAGCGCAGCTATTGAGGAGGAGGAGGGGAAGGTATGCTCTCCTCCACCTCCATACCCTCCCTTTCTCCTCTCCTGCTCTCCCATTTAGCGTGAAATTTTCGTTTAATTTCCCTCCAAATTTAGCGAAAATTTTCCCAATAAATTTAGCAGAGAAATATTCCCACTTAGTTTAGCAGGAAATTTATCGAAAATTTTAATGCTAAATTTAGCAGGAAATTTATCGGGGAAATTGAATTGGCCTTGGAGGTCATGTGACGTTAATTTCCCCGCTAAATTTAGCAGCGCGAAAATTTTCCCACTAAATTTGGTGGCAAAATTTCCCCACTGAATTCAGCAGAAAAATTTCCCTACTAAATTTAGCAAGAAAATTTTCCTGCTAAATTTAGTGGGAAAATTTGCCTGCTAAATTTAGTGGGAAATTTTCCCCACTAAATTTAGTGGAGAAATTACCTTGCTAAATTTAGGAAAAAATTTTCCTGCTGCATTTAGTGGGAAAACTTTCCCGCTAAATTTTAAGCGGAAAATTTTTCCCTCTAAATTTAGTAGTAAAATTTTCCTTCTAAATTCAGCAGAAAAAATTTCCTTGCTACCTTTAGCGGGGAACGTCCTATAATGCAATGCACGGTTACGTCGACGCTGACTGCGACGCTGCTCAACCCGGAAACAGGTGCCTAAGAGCGCGTGTTTTAAAATTCACTCTTGAGATCAAGCAAACAAAACAGGTTTTAATATTGATTTATAGCATCCTGTCGTGTCACCAATTCGTAACAAGTATTTCTGCCAAACTACAAGGACAGGAAACAAAACAGTTGTGCAATCAACCTCTGGCTTCCTGTTGACAGACCTCTCATGACATCTGGTTCAATATTTCTGGCCCTGCTGGCACGTTGAAAACACTACCATCTTCGCAATGAGGCGTGTGAATTGCTCGGTCGTTACTGTTTTACCGTGTTGTACAAGCGACGTATCAATCAGAATTTCACGACTTTACTCCAACAAAATGTCCTCTTCTTACCTAGTTGAAAGAACCGGCGACAAATGCTACCGGCAAAAGCTGACAATCGCAGGCCAGGAGCTTCGAGATCCATTAGATGCTGCTATTCAGAAACACGTCTTCACCATAGATGCTCGCCAGTGGCCGGGACTAGAAATTGGCAACATCTATATCTACCTTGTGGAGGGGTCCATGCTTGGACCCCTCCACGAGGTAGATATAGATGCAACTGCCTTCAAGAGTTACATGTAGATATAGATTGCAACCGTCTTCAAGAGTTACATGCTTGAAGACAGTTGCAACCTGTTTTTGAGTGGTAGGGTTCATGCTGTTTGCTTATTTGGGGCTACGACAGGGAGCACAGGCATCATTCTCGTCACCATGAAAGTGGAAGCTAGTCAAACCTTCAAAGGGTACCACCAGCCTTGGGCCATGGTCAAAAAAGAGGGCACAGTCCTAAGTGTCCACAGCACTTGCATGGCAGAGTGAGTAGCTTGTTTTTTCCTTTCATTTTGATTGCTTTCTGATCGCAGCAACACGGCCCCTCCCATTTAAAATCATTTTGTGCCTACAGGCTCAGCGAGGCCTGCAGTCACGTAGCTGCGCTCTTGCTTTGCGTCGAAGGTGACGTCAAGTTTGGTATTAATGACCCAAGCTCGACTTCTGTCCAATGCCGCTAGTTGACAGCATATTCCACTGCATGGGTGTGCATTTAGTAATATGCTTCCGTGGTTTTTTACCTTTTTCACAAATTGCCACGTAATAACTTTTGCACAAAGTTCTTTCAATTTTTGCTTTAAAAACATTCACACATCTTTGAATAATTCAATAAAACAAATATTTTATAATTTTACCATAAAGTTACGAAAGAACGCCCACCCAAAGTTTTGCTGTGGTGATGCCAGAGCAAAACTTTATTGTAATTGTAATTATAATTGATTTCCACAGATGGCAATGTACGTGGCTAAGCAGAAAGGATACAACCCTTATGCATATGCGCCTGCTAGTCAACTGCCACATACACTATTGACGAAAAAAAGATCACACACGAGAGAAGCAAGAGCAAAAGAACACAAGAGGATCTCGATGCCACTCAAAGGGAAAAGAAAACGCAAAGTTCTTGAGACTCCTTGTTTGAAGTTGGCAGGGGGCTTGAGGTGGGTAAGAGAATAGTTAGGAAGTCTCTGTCAGCTTCATGGGTTCACTATGGCGGATGGTTCTGCCGCGGAGCTACTCGGGTTGCCCAGTTTTACTCGCCCGCACTGCAGAAGACAAGGGGGTTCCCGAAGGCGGCCCATCGAACACCCGACAAGGCCTGCATACCCGCGACGTACGTAGCCTCTCAACAAGGGTCACCACTAAGGGCTCCGAGACGTGTGCCATACGAGCTGGCGAAGGTGATGGATGACTGGCCACAGATGATGCACGTAGCACAGTGCTGCACACTCTCGAGGCACTCGCAGTGGCGCTGTTGGTCTGGGGACTAGATTGCCGAGGATTGCCATAGTGGGGAGCACAAGTGCTGTGTAAAGCATCCGCAGCACTATTGGCCTGCATAATTTGGCCACGTGCTTTATACCCAGCGTCCGTCAGATCCTGGAGACGACACTCAAAATATGGGCAGAAAAGTCCAGATTGCTTGCGAGTGTGACACCCAGAATATTGACTGAATTCAAGACAGCAAGTGGGGGACTGGCCAGTGTGTAGACAGGAATGTCACTCTTTTTGCTGTTGGTGAAATGGACCACGGTAATTTTTGACGGACTTATTTGGTGGAGTTATAGGCAAGGGGGGCTTTCTTTTTATCGTAATAAACTTTACAAACTTAACTACCACACGCTGTGTTTTGTTTTTCTCGAGTAAATACCATTTTCCAAGACACGGGAATCTCTACAAAAACGTGGCTCTCAATAAGCATGTTTATTTGGCTCTGAAAAGAGCCGTTGTCACTTGGAGAAGCCTGAGGCTTCATGCAGGTGTTTCTTTACTCCAGCCTACGCAGTTTTGTTTTCAGTCTGGGACCGTCCTCCACCACATAAAACCCTGTGCAGTACTGCTTGAAGGAGACATACTTGCTGCGAGCTATGAGGGCTCTTCAGTGCCTTACATGACCGGTTGCTACTTTCGGGAGGAGGGCATGCTTGGCGAAATAGATGAGCTCTGGCAGCAGCACTCGATCAACAAACTCCTTGTCGAAGGTGATGGTCTCAATGCGTGTTGAGTTGGCAACAGTCTTGTTATTCGTCCAGAGAACAAAATCGCACCACTCGTGTCCGGTCACCGCCATCTGCCCTTGCACCTGGTAGAAGTAGGTGTGAGTTTTCTTAAGGCGTACCAAACCATCCACGACCTTGCAGCAAAACTTTTTGTCCTTAAAGTCCTTTATTGGTGTTAGCCAATCTTCTACGATGGACACTTCACCTCCAAAAGACCCCCTTCATTGTCCTCCTTTACCATGATGCGGTCTGGCGATGCAGCGATGAAGCTGCACTTTGGGCGAATGTGCAGCCCAGTCTCGAGGATCTCGACAGGAGTGTCGAATGCTGCTATAAGTGATGTGTAGGCAGCAACGGCGGTGCCCTCATGTGTCCTCCAATTGCACATGGCCTCACTTGAGGCATCTGGACTCGGGTACAAAATGTCCTTCACCAGGTGCTCGGGCTTGACGCAGTTGATGACAGCAAAGAACACCGACGCTGTAATTCTGCCCTGCCGCTCTTCGTGCCACCTTCCATTGTTGGCTTGACCGATGGTAAACTGGGTCACTTCTTCCCTCTCTTTGTTCGTCAATCTGAAGAGGGACTCTGTGTTTTTCAATTACTCCACAAATCTTCATCGTCTTGAATGGGGAGCACTGGAGTCGCTGGTCCGAGTTGCTGCGCACCCACTGTACAGGAGCCACTGGAGGCCCTGTGTAGCGACACTGAGAGCATCCCGAAGTTGCTAGATCTCTTCAGCCAAAGCAACGCCAACATTCTCGCAGGGTTCAAAGGAGCGCCATCTCTTCTCCTTCACCGGCCTGTTGATGAGGTACTTCTGGAATGTGATGCCCGCAAGTGGCGTCAAGGGAGTAGGCTTCTTGTTTGCAAAGAGAAATTTTGGCTTGTCAGTTCAGTTCTAAATTGAGCTACATCTAGGTTCTCCATTTTGTAATCATGTTAATAGCTTGTCATCCAAGCGGCTTTATGTAGAAAGTGCAAAGTGATAGTTTCATGACTTAATGAAAAAGAACACGAAAAGCATTGGCTGTTTGGTTCCTCATGTTTACCTAGCAATGAGAATGAGCTTCACTAAATAATTTAGACAGCTTGGATGTTGGTAAGTTATTCTCCAATATATTAGGTACAAAGTAAAATGGATTTTATTTTTTTTATGCCTTTGTTATGTTACAAGTTAGTTTTTGCTTCCTTATTATGTGTCTTCATGACCTGTACAGTGAAGAAAGGTTTTCTTAAATTATAAGGCTAAAAGATATATTTTAGGCCTCATCATCTGATAGAAATGTCTCCACGAGCTGGCTATGAGATGGTATCCTTCTTGGGGTATTTGATTGTAGACTGGCCAGAACAGCCAAAGGAAGTTTGTTCATATATGAAAACCTAGCGGGCAATTGGTGTTGAAAGGATATTATGAATGCTCCAAACACAAATCCTTTTTTACTTCCTGAAACCACCAGTCCTTTTTGATTGGGGTATGGGTCCAAGGGGAGGTAAGGGGTCTAGGGTGCTGGTAAACGTTGATCACGTGTTGCATGGCGGGCATCTATTTTGCAAGCACCAGCATGCCATTGTCATTGCTAGTCTGGGCACACCAGCAGACATGCCCATGTACGGTCTTCACCCATGTGTTCAAGACACTGTTCTTCGTCTTGCCTGCAGTGGCCATCTCGTTGTAAATGCCTAGAAATTAGAAAGCATTACTAGCTCAGCTCGTGCCAAGTCTGGAAGACAATGTAGGTAGACATATTATTCGGTCAAAATAGGGTGCTATAGTAAAATCGCATTTGGTCCAGCATGGACAATATCATCAACTTTAGTATACTCTAAGATGATGTTGGAATAATGCCTCATGTATCTTGACAACAAAGCATGTTGCACTACCTTTACATTAACAAATTTCATCTTCGGTTATACTTTGAGTAATTTAACAGGTATTGGAATTCATTTCTCAAATATTGTTAGTTTCTTCGATGTGGCATGAGTCAAACCGGTGCTTGGTGTCAGGGTATCTGTCCATCAGGGCCTTCACCCTAAAGTGCTGTTTAGTCACAAGCTATACACAGACAGTCCCGTGCTCACGATGAAGTCCAGGGAACACTTCATGCCTTCTGTATCCATGTGATTATTCTATTTTACTTCTGTCGATTAGGGTAGGAACAAATTCAGTAAAATGCACACCTCATCCATGCAATGCAATGACATAATTTTATATTTAGCCACTCCTTATGTGAAGAACCTTGACTTATGAGATCTTGTTGAATCTGGCGTGAAGTATTGTGTATGTCCCATACTTTGCTGAGTAGCCAGGTGTGAGTGCACGGCTATTGCCTACCAGGTGGAGCTTGCTGCCCTTCTTGGCTGTCGGGAGGAACTTCTGTTCAGCTTCTCAGGTCTTTGAAAGGAGAAAACTCAATGTCGGGCTCAATCACTGGGCATGTTTAGTCAACTGAAAATCTTTGTTGTCAGCTCTGCTCACTTTTGTAGCAGCAGGAAACACCAAACAGCTCTGAAGCCGGAAGAACAGTGTCTTTCTTAGGACTTACATTTTTATGGAACGAAGAAGGCAAAGAATGTGCGTAGGACTGGCACCAGAGTATGTGATGGCAGCAGGTAGCGGAATGTTGAGGAGTGCCTTGCTGTTGACTCGGGGCTGGTTCTCCCACACAGTCTTGTGTCCTCATGCACATGTAATGACAGCGTGCCTACCCAAGTGAGAATATAAAGTGGTACTTCAAGTGTTATCACTTAGTTTAAAGTGGTACCACTTTGACTGCAAGTGGCAGCACTTTGACTGCAAGTGGTATCACTTGGGTCTGTAAGTGGTACCACTTGAGGCCAAGTGGTGCCACTTGGGCATGGAAGTGGTACCACTTCAGGGCAAATAGTACCACTTGGGCCTATAAGTTGTACCACTTCAGGGCAAATGCTACCATTTAAGTTGCAAGGGGCAAAACTTCCAAGTACCTTAGCTCTGGCTAAAAAGTGCTAAAGATTGGCCCAGAAGTAGCGTCAATGCATTAGACTTGCATGTGCAGAAAGTTGCTTCCATGCATGCCAGAGACTCGCCACCACTATACCACAGCAAAAAATGGCCCCAGCAAGGAAGCAACTTGTATTCATTTTATTCACAGTTTACACTGTGAAGTGCTTCCATAGAGAGCTTGATAGTTTGCTTCTTGTTGCAACTTTTTGCAAAATTACCACCAAGTGAGCTTCAGTCACAAAGCGATTTGGCTTAGCTAAAATTATGACTACTTGCTGATAAAATAAAAAGTATTTCTATTTATGAAAAGTATTAGGTGTGGGAAAAGCAAGTTATATAGCTAAAAACCAAGAGATGGGACACAAGGAATGCATTTAAAAATGTTACCGGAAAAGAGAAATAAGGCTCGGTCATGTGGGTGAGCAACAGAATTGCAAAATTTTAAAAAGATTGCAGATATAATATTAGTGTGCCTAGCGACCAGGAAAACCGGGAATTGTCAGGGAAATTTTAATTACCGGGAAAAATCAGGGAATGGTCGGGGATATTGTCAAAAAGTGAGCCTAGTCAGGGAAAATGAGCCGGAAACGCCATAGAGTGCCCTGAGCAAAGACTTGAGGACTTGGGGGCAGAAAAATAGGCATTAAATTCTGCTAGAGCGGTTCGCGGGCTCTGCTCACCCAATGTAGAGTGTGCTACCCAATACAAAGAGAACAGCCGACAAATCTAGTCCAAGCTTTGGATTGGATTAGATTGGGGGGACAACATTGCGCTTGATCCAGTTAGAGCTACTAGATTTAGTAACAAATGGGAAAGCCGCAGACCCCAATCCAATCCAAGCATTAAGCCGAACGGATCTGAAAGTGTGCATCTGGAAGCCATGGCCATGCACTATGCTGCCATTCGGTTATTGATGTGTGTGGTTGAGTATTGTGTGTTCATTGTGTTTCCGGAAGTGGCCTCTTCAATGACGATGTCGGTGGCAAGGAAGTGCTCAAACCGGACTGGACGAACCCGAATATTTCGGAATATGCAAGTTAGATTAAGCCCATGCAAAATGATGCTCACAGTGCTCAATGCTCAATGCCTTGTGTTGTAATGGTCTTATATATTTCATCGCCTGTACAGTGGTCAGGGAATTTCACCTGAAATTGTCAGGGAAAACCTGGAAAAGCCAGGGAATTTCAAAATAATAACTTGCTAGACACCCTAAATATGGTACAGTGTACAGCATAATAATCTAGACCAGTGGTTGTCAAATGAGGGTCCGCAAAGGTGCTATAGAGGTCTGCGAAACCCTGCCTCATCATTCAAGCCCGGCAATAAAAGTTGTCTTTTTTTAGATTGAAAGGAACATTCTAATTTTCAATTTTCGGGCCTTGTGTGTATGTCAATGAGAGAAGTCTACTTCCCACTAGCTCCACTCGCTCCACTTTTGCGTAATCATTGCCAACTTTCACAGCTGTCGAGTCTCGTTTCAGGGGGCTAATGTACTGCTCACTGTGAATGACGCAACCACACACCTGCATACGATTGTACTCTTCAACACTGTCCACAATCCCCAGGTTCTCTTGCAGCAGGTGTGTGACATCTTGAGGTGCTTGTTTGGGTCTGCCCAGGAGCTCTGGTGTTGTGTTTCTCTTCATTGTCTTTTGAGAGCAGTGCTTCCTCACTTCTCCTGAGGCCATTGAGAGCAACTGACGAAAGTTGTTTCGGAGGAAAATACGAGACAAGGTCTGAAAAGCGATGCCATTTGCTGAGGTCACCAACTTCAGTAAATGTCCCATATGACTCAAACTCGAAGCAAGAGAGTGTCCACAGTGGTCCATGAAGCAGTACACTTTTTGGCATGTGCACCAACGTGTGCACACGTAGAGGCACTGAGTCATAACAACAAATTTAGTGATTTTCTCCGTACTTTCATGTACATCCTCCTTCGTTACAAGGGTTTTCATGAGCATATCCGTGTAGAACAGTATGTTGTTGTCGCTTTCCCGGAATTTCTCAATTTCGAATGGGACCGATTCTTCCTTAAGCTTTTCTAAGTTGCACTGAGCAAGGATAAGGTTGTCATGTAGTATGTCCAGTTCTTTGCATAGTGTGCTTACTTTCTGCTCAAACAGACTTACTGCTGCCACAAACCCTCCCCCCCCCCTTACTGAATACCCAGACCGGGTATAACAAATGTCATCCAAGTGTGTTATTTATGGGCTCCTACAAATATTGTGTGCAACCCTCATAGAGTAGTAAAAGCATGCAAACTGTCTTTAATTAGTACCTTCTTAGGCAACCATCCACCACTGCCAGCTCACTTGTCCCTCGTTGACGAAGTACCGTGTGAACAGCTCCCGCACTGCTTTGGCGTCGTCGCTGCTGTTGCTTCCTCCTCTTCGAAACCGCCTCATGACTCCAGCGGGAGTCACACCCTGTCTCCATAAGCCGTTTGTACAGTTCCTGCAGGCCATCGAAATAGCATTGTTGAACCACGCATGTTTATGATGAGTTTCACTACTGTAAGCATCTATATCAAACTCAGTTACTAACAATCTTTCTGAACCCTTTCCATTCACCACATCTTTGCATCCAGTTTACTTCAGTGAGCTTGCTTGTGTTAAGTTGTACTTCAGGCTCTGCTCTTAGCTTCCAACCTCTGGCAAGTTCGGCCTCCGTTTCAGACTGCAGCCCTACCTCGTTATGGCTCTTGGCTTGTTGAGTGTGCAGCTCTTTTTGAAGCCTCGATTTGTTCACCTTGCTTGTGGCTAGCTATGCTTGTAGTGCTACAATGGTGTTGCTGCATTTGCAGTTTTGCAGCTTGCTCCTGCAGCTTGCTCCTGCAGCTTGCTCCTGCAGCTCTGGTGACTTGTGTTTGAAGGTGCAGACCGTTGTTCGGGGATAGCATCCCGTGGTGGGTGCCAAATTTTTCTTATCTGCTTGCGCACAGTGTTCATGAACCGTGTTCCTCCCGTTCTGTGGCCGTTGGATGCTAGAGAGTGTGCACAGTAACCGCGGAAGAAGTGCCTTTCTTGAGGGCTTCACCCTCCAAAAGACGAGGACGGATGGCACAGCCGTGTCCCCCTGAAGCTGCCGGCCACTTGCCAGACCTTTCCAGAAATCAGCTTCCACAACATGCTCAGAGCATGCTTTAGTTTTGGGTACTCTGAAATATGCTCTTTCATCCCTCTTGACGACTGCAATACATCTCTTTTAGGACACAGCTCTTAGGCGCCCATTTCCGGCTTGAGCGGCGTCGCCGTCGCCGTAATTGCGCGGTGCATGATTTATTTATTTGATTTATTTGCACTGCACGGGACCCTCGTGACGTGATTCGTGAGGTCACGTGTGACGTCACGAGGGTCCCGTGCGGTGCATAATGGGACATTTCCCATGATGCAACACGCGGGGGGAGGAGGAGGAGGGGAGGAGGGGAGGAGGAGCTTGAAGGATGAGGGGAGGGGAGGAGTAGCAGGGAGGATGAGGGGGTAATGGGGAGGGAGGAGGGGTATACCCTCTCCTCAGTACCCTCCCCTCCTCCTTCTCATGAGCTGAGCTCTAATGCGGTGTTACAGGGGGTTGTAAATGTCTTTCATTTGTTTGAAGTTGGTGTTACAGTCGGGAACTTGTGATAGGAAATCTGCAAATGAAGTACCAAGGTGAGCATGTGCATTTGTTACTTTTCACCTGCGTCACATTAACACCGTGAATTGCAGGCTGTGCACCAGTGAACACTACAGGGATATCCATAATAATAGAACTGTATAAAAATGCAGGCGCCTAATGGAGTTTACATTCCACGTGACGATCCTAACGTAGTTCGCACAGCGGCTCACTGTTACCATTCCTGAAGGTCACACGCAAGTTTGACAGCAGTCGCTGAATGACACACCAAATGCACTGACATGGTCAGGTCGTCACGCTCTGCGTGCTGCGCCCGACACAAACACAAACTGTAACAAAAGCAACTCAGCGACACGCGAAGCTCATAAAAATGTCTGTACACATTGACAGAACTACGGTAAAATCACTACCTGTGTGGTTGGCGTGCTGAACGGCCGCCTTGTAGCAACACACTAAGGGCACCTTTTTTACGGAAGAAAAACAAAAAAACTGAAAGTACCAAGAAACTGACCAAGCGACGTGCATAGCTTAAAAGATTGTTTAAATAAGTCGCATGACTAAACATTCAAACAATGTGACACATACAAACCTTTTGTCCGGAACTTGTTCACGTATCCGTACCGCTTACAGAGCTGTACGCAGCAGTGGGTAGGCATCTTGTTTCACATTCTCAAAACTGTGTAAGCAGCTTGGAAAAAAAGAGCGAACAATTTAAGTTTGTCAATTTAAACGCAGCTGGATAGTACAGCAGTGGAGCGCTTCCTTTCTAGTGATGTCGGATTCAGATTTGAATTTACTGGTGTCCCCTTTGTATTGGGTGGCCACTTGCCAGTAGTTCTCGTGAGGGCCTGCCAAAACGCAGCTTGGCTGGGCTCATTAAGTGCCAACACTAGCCGGGTTTCTCTTCGTCTCCTTCGTTCTCGGGTGGGTGTCTGCAGGTTTGGGCCCGTCTGCCTTTGACTCTCCCAGCTTCACCAGGAACACTCCCACCACTGCTCTAGCAGACATCAAACAATGACATTAACAGGTCGTCGGTCACTCTCCTAAGTTTCTTTGTTTCAGAGCTTTGTGGAAAAACCTGGACGCAGCAGTCAGGCCTTCATAAGCGACTCCCTCCTCCGTCCAACCCACTGTCACCCGTGACCAAGATGGACCTGAAATATCGGGGAATTTCATTTTTATTAAACTTTAATAGACTGACTGAAATTTGAAACTCTAACCATTTTCCTAACCAGACAGATTTCTGTCAAAGATGTTTACGTAGCAATAGTAACTGATGACAGCTTTTCGGTTCTAAGAAAAAAACAGGAAAATTTTTCGATTGCTTGTTCATATTAACAGTGCACTGCTCTGTTCAGTGCTTATCAGCTGGGCCTCTTTTCAGAAATAGGTTGTCCTCATGGTTTTCACTGATCGCTCAGCAAAATGCAGAGAAGCTCAAGTTTAAAACGACAATGAAAGGATAGACAAAAACAATACCATCACAAACCTTAGATTAAAAAATGCCTGTTGCCTGCAAACATTTTGTCAGAAAATGAGGAGCTTGGCATAGGTTAAATTTTCCTAGCTCTGTGAACAGAAAAAAAATACTTGTTAGGCGAGCGAATGCGTCGGTCGCACCCCTTTGCAACTGCAGGATTTCTTCTAGTGCTGCACGGATGTGGTGCTGTGCAGCCAGCAGCTGAAGCTAAGCAGCCAGCTGCTGCTGCTGTGTGGCCAGCAGGTCCCTGGCCATGCATGCTTGCCCAGGCCGTGGTCGTACGGAACGAGGAGGCAGGGTGCATGGCAGCTGGTGTACTGCCAACACAAAGCACATTTTCATGTGATTCAAGATATGTAATTTTGTGTTTCCTCATACCATCTTGTTGCGGTGAACCTGCCACCTCCACAGGCAATGCTGCATCTGGCGCGTCCTTGGCCTCGCTGTCTTCTGCTGCTTCTGCTGGGGAGTCCTGTATATTTGGTTAAACTGGTGTTATCATGTTGTCAATGCTCTTGGTTTTAGCCCATGTCTTTGCACTAGTTTTTTTTAAAGATTGAACGAGCAACTGACCTGATCGTCAATGTTTATCGAGTCAGAAAAACATTACATCAACTGGTGTGTTTTTCCACAGTTATGAGTCGATGTTCTGTACAGTATATCCAGTCATTACTGTACAGTTGTCAGGATGAACTGTGGCATTTCTGACAGCCCTAACAACACATGCTGCATTTTCTGTTCACAATTCCCACACCACGAGGTCAGACACTGGTGCCTCAGCTACACCTGCGATTCCAAGTACTTAGCGTGGCTGCAGCCGATGGGCCAGGCTGTGGCGTTGGGCGAGGTGCCACCGGTGCCAGGCGCCTTCCCCCACGGCCTCGGGAGGAATCCGTCCCCACAAGGGACAATATTCTTTCCTCTTCGGCGTTTAACAGAGGGACGGGGTTGGCACCCCCACTGCTGCGCGCACACGTGCATTCCAGGACTCCTTCCATTCGGCCTGGCTTTTAACAGATGGGCCCTCGACATTTAGCTCTTGGACAGTGATGTGCCACAGGGCAGTTCGGTCTTCCTCAGATAGTGGACTATCTGTGGTGGCCCTCACAAGGACTGGGTTCGCCAACAGATAGTAGAGGAGTAGGGCGAACTGCCTCACAGAGACACGGGCCCTGAGCCTTTTCTTAGCGGCGTTGTCGGCGATGGCCGTGGTTCTGAGTCTGAACCTCTGAACCGTAGTCAGAGACTTTAAACTACCAAATGCTGGGGTCGATTAAAAACCGCGAGGTCTTGTCAAAAACAAACTCCAGAATCCAGATTTTCCAACGTTGTCAAGACCCCGATCTTCACAAACGGCTGCAATCCATGGGAAAAGTTACCATTGTCACTCAAGTTAAATACATAATTGGTGGATGCAGAATTCAGCTTATGTTATTCTATTTCAATTGAAACAGGTACAATGTGTTTCCAACTTAAAAATAATATTTTTTACAATTCCCTTCACTGCAGTGTTTCAAAGTTCCCTCTAAGGACCATTTTTGAAAGAATTCTCAATGAAGTTTCAACTTAATTGTTTCTGTTGACCGACGTCATGATAAGGTTGGCTCTCCAGTGGAGTTTAGCGGTGATGAAGTTGAGGCTTCTTCCACCGGCGACGTCGCAATGAAGTTTCTGCATCGCTTTTTTCAGCATACACAGACAACCCTCCACTCATTGAATTTTTCTTACGGTGTATTGAAGATATTTTTTCTCTGTACATGAAAGTGATGCTCTATTCCGTATGCTCTTCCGTATGCACAAAGTTGTTGGGACTGATAAAACTGGTGCCTTCTTGAGAACTACGACTTTGTCAGAAAGTCACTTTCTGATTTGATCTACTAGCGTGGTAATAAATCTTGAGCACCTTTCTCGCATCGAGAGAGGACCCGTTGGTCTTCATGTTGTCAATGTACACTCTCCGGCAATATGAAAGACCCACTGGGAGCGCGTGGCCGAGGCGGTGGCTGGCGGGGGCGCTGCGAGCCCTCCGGGCAATTCCATTCTGCTTCGAGGGGAGGACGCTCACTCGGGCTCAGATAAAGCGAAACGCGCTTATCAGTTTGTGCCGAGTGCCGAATGAGCGTCCTCCCCTCGAAGCAGAATGGAACTGCCCGGAGCGCTCGCAGCGCCCCCACCAGCCAGCGCCTCGGCCACGCGCTCCCAGTGGGTCTTTCATAACGCCGGAGACTGTACGTCTCACACAGGTAGCCCAGAAATAGGGTCTAAGTGGTCCTCAAGTCTGGACGTCAGAACATCCATCTGTCCTGTCAGAATGACAACTTTTTGAACCAAGCTTGAAAGCAAAGTCGAGGTCTTTTAGCAGCTTTGTTTTAGTCGCATCTTTCGCCTCGAATTTCTTGCCTTTTTCAAAGGATTCACATCTTTTACCTTTTTCGCAAAACATTAATCACTGCTAATATCTTTCAACTCCTTTTTGGCATTACAGAACCTACAGGTTTGTCACCTACTGGAAGTTTGTCTGGTGGGTGTGGAAGAGATTGGGGAGATTCAACAGGGTGCAACTTGCGTGCTGCGTGGTGGCGAAGATAAGGAAGCACTTCCCTTCAGCCACATAGTCTTCCAGTACTCCTATTGCCAGAACCTTGAGACGTGGGCTCTGATGGTGGCTTTTTTGTCTGGCCTATTAGCTGCGCTGCACAAGGAGGAAATAAGGGCCGTTGCAACGCAGTGGAACCTAGCTGCTGCTGGCCAAGTTTTCACTTACCAGAGGAGGGTGGCTCTGTCACTGAATGAACAGACCGCCCTTAGTTGCCTTAGGAAACCTTAGGCTGTACCGAAGCTCCTTGTCCCTGGTTCTTGCTTGCTTCCAGACGGCGCATTGGCATTATAATGCCTAATAGCCACGCAGGTTCTGATATGTGCTCAGATATGAGACATAATCAGAGTTTGCCATCATACCAGTGAGCTTTGCAACTTACTGTGCAATCATACCATTATAGCTGAAAAGCAAAGACTTCGGAGTGATGTGGATAAGCATGCTGTG